GCAAGCAGAGGAGCACAAGTAAGAGGAAGCACAAGCAGAGGAGCGCAAGCAGAGGAAGCGCAAGTAGAGGAAGCGCAAGCAGAGGAAGCGCAAATAGAGGAAGCGCAAGCAGAGGAAGCGCAAATAGAGGAAGCACAAGCAGAGGAAGCGCAAGCAGAGGAAGCACAAGCAGAGGAAGTGCAAGCAGAGGAAGCGCAAGCAGAGGAAGCGCAAGCAGAGGAAGCACAAGCAGAGGAAGCACAAGCAGAGGAAGCGCAAGCAGAGGAAGCACAAGCAGAGGAGCACAAGCAGAGGAGCCCAAGCAGAGGAAGCGCAAGCAGAGGAAGCGCAAGCAGAGGAAGCGCAAGCAGAGGAAGCGCAAGCAGAGGAAGCACAAGCAGAGGAAGCACAAGCAGAGGAAGCACAACTAGAGGAAGCGCAAGCAGAGGAAGCACAAGCAGAGGAAGCCAAGCAGAGGAGCGCAAGCAGAGGAAGCGCAAGTAGAGGAAGCACAAGCAGAGGAAGCACAAGAAGAGGAAGCGCAAGCAGAGGAAGCACAAGCAGAGGAAGCACAAGCACAGACAGGAAGCGCAGAAGGAAGTGCAAGTAGAGGAAGCGCAAGCACAGGAAGCCCAAGCAGAGGAGCCCAAGCAGAGGAAGCGCAAGCAGAGGAAGCACAAGCAGAGGAAGCGCAAGCAGAGGAAGCACAAGCAGAGGAAGCACAAGCAGAGGAAGCACAAGGAGAGGAAGCACAAGCAGAGGAGCGCAAGCAGAGGAAGCGCAAGCAGAGGAAGCGCAAGCAGAGGAAGCGCAAGTAGAGGAAGCGCAAGCAGAGGAAGCACAAGCAGAGGAAGCGCAAGCAGAGGAGCACAAGCAGAGAAGCAGCAAGCAGAGGAAGCGCAAGCAGAGGAAGCGCAAGCAGAGGAAGCGCAAGCAGAGGAAGCACAAGCAGAGGAAGCGCAAGCAGAAGAAGCACAAGCAGAGGAAGCACAAGCAGAGGAAGCGCAAGTAGAGGAAGCACAAGCAGAGGAAGCGCAAGCAGAGAAGCACAAGCAGGAAGCACAAGCAGAGGAAGCACAAGCAGAGGAAGCGCAAGCAGAGGAAGCGCAAGCAGAGGAAGCGCAAGCAGAGGAAGCGCAAGCAGAGGAAGCGCAAGCAGAGGAAGCACAAGCAGAGGAAGCGCAAGCAGAGGAGCACAAGCAGAGGAAGCGCAAGCAGAGGAAGCGCAAGCAGAGGAAGCAAAAGCAGAAGAAAGAAAGAAGAGGACTAGCAAGAAGAGGATACAAATAGCAAACCCAAGAAGGGAAGCCAAGCGCTAGAGAGCACCCCACTACAGGCTAGAACAATAAGATAATTCTGACAGAGGAAGCGCAAGCAGAGGAAGCGCAAGCAGAGGAAGCACAAGCAGAGGAAGCACAAGTAGAGGAAGCGCAAGCAGAGGAAGCGCAAGCAGAGGAAGCGCAAGCAGAGGAAGCACAAGCAGAGGAGCGCAAGCAGAGGAAGCACAAGCAGAGGAAGCGCAAGCAGAGGAAGCGCAAGTAGAGGAAGCACAAGCAGAGGAAGCGCAAGCAGAGGAAGCGCAAGCAAAGAAGAGCAAGCAGAGGAAGCGCAAGCAGAGGAAGCGCAAGCAGAGGAAGCGCAAGCAGAGGAAGCACAAGCAGGAAGCACAAGTAGAGGAAGCACAAGCAGAGAAGCGCAAGCAGAGGAAGCCCAAGCAGAGAAAGCAAAGCAGAGGAAGCGCAAGCAGAGAAGCGCAAGCAGAGGAAGCACAAGCAGGAAGCACAAGTGAGGAAGCAGAAGCAGAGAAGCGCAAGCAGAGGAAGCCCAAGCAGAGAAAGCACAAGCAGAGGAAGCGCAAGCAGAGGAAGCGCAAGCAGAGGAAGCGCAAGCAGAGGAAGCACAAGTAGAGGAAGCGCAAGCAGAGGAAGCACAAGCAGGAAGCAGAGCAGAGGAAGCACAAGCAGAGGAGCGCAAGCAGAGGAAGCGCAAGCAGAGGAAGCACAAGCAGAGGAAGCGCAAGAGAGGAAGCACAAGCAGAGGAAGCGCAAGCAGAGGAAGCACAAGCAGAGGAAGCGCAAGCAAGGAGCGCAAGCAGAGGAAGCGCAAGCAAAGGAAGAGCAAGCAGAGGAAGCACAAGCAGAGGAAGCGTAAGCAGAGGAAGCGCAAGAAGAGGAAGCGCAAGCAGAGGAAGCGCAAGCAGAGGAAGCGCAAGCAGAGAAGCGTAAGCAGAGAAGCGCAAGCAGAGGAAGCACAAGCAGGAAGCACAAGTAGAGGAAGCAGAAGCAGAGAAGCGCAAGCAGAGGAAGCCCAAGCAGAGAAAGCACAAGCAGAGGAAGCGCAAGTAGAGGAAGCACAAGCAGAGGAAGCGCAAGCAGAGGAAGCACAAGCAGAGGAAGCACAAGCAGAGGAGCGCAAGCAGAGGAAGCGCAAGCAAAGGAAGAGCAAGCAGAGGAAGCACAAGCAGAGAAGCGTAAGCAGAGGAAGCGCAAGAAGGAAGCGCAAGCAGAGGAAGCGCAAGCAGAGAAGCAAGCACAGCAGAGGAAGCGCAAGCAGAGGAAGCACAAGCAGGAAGCACAAGCAGAGGAAGCACAAGCAGAGGAGCGCAAGCAGAGGAAGCACAAGCAGAGGAAGCACAAAGCAGAGGAAGCGCAAGCAGAGGAAGCACAAGCAGAGGAAGCGCAAGCAGAGGAAGCACAAGCAGAGGAAGCACAAGCAGAGGAAGCACAAGCAAAGGAAGCGCAAGCAGAGGAAGCGCAAGCAGAGGAAGCGCAAGCACAGGAAGCGCAAGCAGAGGAAGCGCAAGAGAGGAAGCGCAAGCAGAGAAGCGCAAGCAGAGGAAGCGCAAGCAGAGGAAGCGCAAGCAGAGGAAGCGAAAGCAGAGGAAGCGCAAGCAGAGGAAGCGCAAGCAGAGGAAGCGCAAGCAGAGGAAGCGCAAGCAGAGGAAGCGCAAGCAGAGGAAGCACAAGCAGAGGAGCGCAAGCAGAGGAAGCGCAAGCAGAGGAAGCACAAGCAGAGAAGCGCAAGCAGAGGAAGCACAAGCAGAGGAAGCGCAAGCAAAGGAAGCACAAGCAGAGGAAGCAAGCAGAGGAGCGCAAGCAGAGGAAGCATAAGCAAAGGAAGAGCAAGCAGAGGAAGCACAAGCAGAAGAAGCGTAAGCAGAGGAAGCGCAAGAAGAGGAAGCGCAAGTAGAGGAAGCACAAGCAGAGGAAGCGCAAGTAGAGGAAGCACAAGCAGGAAGCACAAGCAGAGGAAGCACAAGCAGAGGAGCGCAAGCAGAGGAAGCGCAAGCAGAGGAAGCACAAGCAGAGGAAGCGCAAGTAGAGGAAGCACAAGCAGAGGAAGCGCAAGCAGAGGAAGCACAAGCAGAGAACGCACAAGCAGAGGAGCGCAAGAAGAGGAAGCGTAAGCAAAGGAAGAGCAAGCAGAGGAAGCACAAGCAGAGGTAGCGTAAGCAGAGGAAGCGCAAGAAGAGGAAGCGCAAGCAGAGGAAGCGCAAGCAGAGGAAGCGCAAGTAGAGGAAGCACAAGCAGAGGAAGCGCAAGCAGAGGAAGCACAAGCAGGAAGCACAAGCAGAGGAAGCACAAGCAGAGGAGCGCAAGCAGAGGAAGCACAAGCAGAGAAGCACAAGCAGAAGAAGCGAAGCAGAGGAAGCACAAGCAGAGGAAGCGCAAGCAGAGGAAGCACAAGCAGAGGAAGCACAACCAGAGGAGCGCAAGCAGAGGAAGCGCAAGCAGAGGAAGCTTAAGCAGAGGAACGCAAGGAGAGGAGCACAAGCAGAGGAAGCACAAGCAGAGGAAGCACAAGCAGCGGAAGCGCAAGCAGAGGAAGCGCAAGCAGAGGAAGCACAAGGAGAGGAAGCACAAGCAGAGGAAGCACAAGCAGAGGAAGCGCAAGCAGAGGAAGCACAAGCAGAGGAAGCACAAGCAGAGGAGCCAAAAGCAAGCAGAGGAAGCGCAAGCAGAGGAAGCGCAAGCAGAAAGCGCAAGCAGAGGAAGCGCAAGCAGAGGAAGCGCAAGCAGAGGAAGCGCAAGCAGAACACGCAGAGGAAGCGCAAGCAGAGGAAGCACAAGCAGAGGAAGCACAAGCAGAGGAGCGCAGGCAGAGGAAGCGTAAGCAAAGGAAGAGCAAGCAGAGGAAGCACAAGCAGAGGAAGCGTAAGCAAGGAAGCGCAAGAGAGGAAGCGCAAGCAGAGGAAGCGCAAGCAGAGGAAGCACAAGCAGAGGAAGTGCAAGCAGAGGAAGCGCAAGCAGAGGAAGCGCAAGCAGAGGAAGCACAAGCAGAGGAAGCACAAGTAGAGGAAGCGCAAGCAGAGGAAGCACAAGCAGAGGAAGCACAAGCAGAGGAGCGCAAGCAGAGGAAGCGCAAGCAGAGGAAGCGCAAGCAGAGGAAGCGCAAGCAGAGGAAGCGCAAGCAGAGGAAGCACAAGCAGAGGAAGCACAAGCAGAGGAAGCACAACTAGAAGAAGCACAAGCAGAGGAAGCACAAGCAGAGGAAGCACAAGCAGAGGAGCGCAAGCAGAGGAAGCGCAAGTAGAGGAAGCGCAAGCAGAGGAAGCACAAGAAGAGGAAGCGCAAGTAGAGGAAGCACAAGCAGAGGAAGCACAAGCACAGGAAGCGCAAGCAGAGGAAGTGCAAAAGTAGAAAAAGAGGAGTGCAAGCACAGGAGCCCAAGCAAAGGAAGCACAAGCAGAGGAAGCGCAAGCAGAGGGAGCACAAGCAGAGGAAGCGCAAGCAGAGGAAGCACAAGCAGAGGAAGCACAAGCAGAGGAAGCACAAGCAGAGGAAGCACAAGCAGAGGAGCGCAAGCAGAGGAAGCGCAAGCAGAGGAAGCGCAAGCAGAGGAAGCGCAAGTAGAGGAAGCGCAAGCAGAGGAAGCACAAGCAGAGGAAGCGCAAGCAGAGGAGCAAGCAAGGAAGCGCAAGCAGAGGAAGCGCAAGCAGAGGGAAGCGCATTAGAGGAAGCGCAAGCAGAGGAAGCACAAGCAGAGGAAGCGCAAGCAGAGAAGCACAAGCAGAGAAGCACAAGCAGAGGAAGCGCAGAGAGGAAGCAAAGCAGAGGAAGCGCAAGCAGAGGAAGCACAAGCAGAGGAAGCGCAAGCAGAGGAGCGCAAGCAGAGGAAGCGTAAGCAAGGAGAGCAAGCAGGGAAGCACAAGCAGAGGAAGCGCAAGCAGAGGAAGCGCAAGAAGAGGAAGCGCAAGCAAGGACGCAAGCAGAGGAAGCGCAAGCAGAGGAAGCGCAAGCAGAGGAAGCGCAAGCGAGGAAGCACAAGCAGGAAGCACAAGCAGAGAAGCAGAAGCAGAGAGCGCAAGCAGAGGAAGCGCAAGCAGAGGAAGCACAAGAGGAAGCGCAAGCAGAGGAAGCACAAGCAGAGGAAGCACAAGCAGAGGAGCACAAGCAGAGGAAGCGCAAGCAGAGGAAGCGCAAGCAGAGGAAGCACAAGCAGAGGAAGCACAAGCAAGGAAGCACAAGCAGAGGAAGCGCAAGTAGAGAAAGCAAAGCAGAGGAAGCGCAAGCAGAGGAGCGCAAGCATAGGAAGCGCAAGCAGAGGAGCACAAGCAGAGGAAGCGCAAGCAGAGGAAGCGCAAGCAGAGGAAGCACAAGCAGAGGAAGCGCAAGCAGAGGAAGCAGCAAGCAGAGGAAGCGCAAGCAGAGGAGCGTAAGCAGAGGAAGCACAAGCAGAGGAAGCGCAAGCAGAGGAAGCACAAGCAGAGGAAGCACAAGCAGAGGAAGCACAAGCAGGAAAAGCGCAAGCAGAGGAAGCGCAAGCAGAGGAAGCGCAAGCAGAGGAAGCGCAAGCAGAGGAAGCACAAGCAGAGGAAGCGCAGGCAGAGGAAGCGTAGCAAGGAAGCGCAAGCAGAGGAAGCGCAAGCAGAGGAAGCGCAAGCAGAGGAAGCACAAGCAGAAGCAGAGGCAGAAGAAGCACAAGCAGAGGAGCGCAAGCAGAGGAAGCGCAAGCAGAGGAAGCACAAGCAGAGGAAGCACAAGCAGAGGAAGCGCAAGCAGAGGAAGCACAAGCAGAGGAAGCGCAAGCAGAGGAAGCACAAGCAGAGGAAGCACAAGCAGAGGAAGCGCAAGCAGAAGAAGCACAAGCAGAGGAAGCACAAGCAGAGGAAGCGCAAGCAGAAGAAGCACAAGCAGAGGAAGCACAAGCAGAGGAAGCGCAAGTAGAGGAAGCACAAGCAGAGGAAGCGCAAGCAAGAAGCACAAGCAGGAAGCACAAGCAGAAGAAGCACAAGCAGAGGAAGCGCAAGCAGAGGAAGCGCAAGCAGAAGAAGCGCAAGAGAGGAAGCGCAAGCAGAGGAAGCGCAAGCAGAGGAAGCACAAGCAGAGGAAGCGCAAAAGAGGAAGCACAAGCAGAGGAAGCGCAAGCAGAGAAGCGCAAGCAGAGGAAGTCAAAAGTAGAAGAAGAAAGAGGATTGAACTAGCAGAAGAGGATACAAATAGCAAGCCTAGAAGGGTTGTACTCGCAGAGAGCACCCCACTACGGCTAGAACAATAGATAAGCTGACAGAGGAAGCGCAAGCAGAGGAAGCGCAAGCAGGAAGCACAAGCAGAGGAAGCACAAGTAGAGGAAGCGCAAGCAGAGGAGCGCAAGCAGAGGAAGCGCAAGTAGAGGAAGCCCAGCAGAGGAGCGCAAGCAGAGGAAGCACAAGCAGAGGAAGCGCAAGCAGAGGAAGCGCAAGTAGAGGAAGCACAAGCAGAGGAAGCGCAAGCAGAGGAAGCACAAGCAAAGGAAGAGCAAGCAGAGGAAGCGCAAGCAGAGGAAGCGCAAGCAGAGGAAGCGCAAGCAGAGGAAGCACAAGCAGGAAGCACAAGTAGAGGAAGCAGAAGCAGAGAAGCGCAAGCAGAGGAAGCCCAAGCAGAGGAAGCGCAAGCAGAGGAAGCGCAAGCAGAGGAAGCGTAAGCAGAGGAAGCGCAAGCAGAGGAAGCACAAGCAGGAAGCACAAGCAGAGGAAGCAGAAGCAGAGAAGCGCAAGCAGAGGAAGCAAGCAGAGAAAGCACAAGCAAAGGAAGCGCAAGCAGAGGAAGCGCAAGCAGAGGAAGCGCAAGCAGAGGAAGCACAAGCAGAGGAAGCGCAAGCAGAGGAAGCACAAGCAGGAAGCAGAGCAGAAGAAGCACAAGCAGAGGAGCGCAAGCAGAGGAAGCGCAAGCAGAGGAAGCACAAGCAGAGGAAGCGCAAGGAGAGGAAGCACAAGCAGAGGAAGCGCAAGCAGAGGAAGCACAAGCAGAGGAAGCGCAAGCAAAGGAGCGCAAGCAGAGGAAGCGCAAGCAAAGGAAGAGCAAGCAGAGGAAGCACAAGCAGAGGAAGCGCAAGCAGAGGAGCGCAAGCAGAGGAAGCGCAAGCAGAGGAAGCGCAAGCAGAGGAAGCGCAAGCAGAGAAAGCGTAAGCAGAGGAAGCGCAAGCAAAGGAAGCACAAGCAGAGAAGCACAAGCAGAGGAAGCAGAAGAGAGAAGCGCAAGCAGAGAAAGCAAGCAGAGAAGCACAAGCAGAGGAATGCAAGCAGAGGAAGCACAAGCAGAGGAAGCGCAAGCAGAGGAAGCACAAGCAGAGGAAGCACAAGCAGAGGAGCGCAAGCAGAGGAAGCGTAAGCAAAGGAAGAGCAAGCAGAGGAAGCACAAGCAGAGGAAGCGCAAGCAGAGGAAGCGCAAGCAGAGGAAGCGCAAGCAGAGGAAGCGCAAGTAGAGGAAGCACAAGCAGAGGAAGCGCAAGCAGAGGAAGCACAAGCAGAAGCACAAGCAGAGGAAGCACAAGCAGAGGAGCGCAAGCAGAGGAAGCACAAGCAGAGGAAGCACAAGCAGAGGAAGCGCAAGAGAGGAAGCACAAGCAGAGGAAGCGCAAGCAGAGGAAGCACAAGCAGAGGAAGCGCAAGCAGAGGAGCGCAAGCAGAGGAAGCGCAAGCAGGAAGACAAGCAGGGAAGCACAAGCAGAGGAAGCGTAAGCAGAGGAAGCGCAAGAAGAGGAAGCGCAAGCAGAGGAAGCGCAAGCAGAGGAAGCGCAAGCAGAGGAAGCGCAAGCAGAGGAAGCGCAAGCAGAGGAAGCACAAGCAGAAGCACAAGCAGAGAAGCAGAAGCAGAGGAGCGCAAGCAGAGGAAGCGGGAGCAGAGGAAGCACAAGCAGAGGAAGCGCAAGCAGAGGAAGCACAAGCAGAGGAAGCACAAGCAGAGGAAGCACAAGTAGAGGAAGCGCAAGCAGAGGAAGCGCAAGCAGAGGAAGCACAAGCAGAGGAAGCACAAGCAAGAAGCGCAAGTAGAGGAAGCGCAAGCAGAGGAAGCGCAAGCAGAGGAGCGCAAGCAGAGGAAGCGCAAGCAGAGGAGCACAAGCAGAGGAAGCGCAAGCAAGGAAGCGCAAGCAGAGGAAGAACAAGAGAGGAAGCGCAAGCAGAGGAAGCGCAAGCAGAGGAAGCGCAAGCAGAGGAAGCGTAAGCAGAGGAAGCACAAGCAGAGGAAGCGCAAGCAGAGGAAGCACAAGCAGAGGAAGCATAAGCAGAGGAAGCACAAGCAGAAAAAGCGCAAGCAGAGGAAGCGCAAGCAGAGGAAGCGCAAGCAGAGGAAGCGCAAGTAGAGGAAGCACAAGCAGAGGAAGCACAGGCAGAGGAAGCGTAAGCAAAGGAAGAGCAAGCAGAGGAAGCGCAAGCAGAGGAAGCGCAAGCAGAGGAAGCGCAAGCAGAGGAAGCACAAGCAGGAAGCAAAGTAGAGGAAGCAGAAGCAGAGAAGCGCAAGCAGAGGAAGCCCAAGCAGAGGAAGCACAAGCAGAGGAAGCGCAAGCAGAGGAAGCGCAAGCAGAGAAAGCGTAAGCAGAGGAAGCGCAAGCAGAGGAAGCACAAGCAGAAGCACAAGTGAGGAAGCAGAAGCAGAGAAGCGCAAGCAGAGGAAGCCCAAGCAGAGAAGCACAAGCAGAGGAAGCGCAAGTAGAGGAAGCGCAAGCAGTGGAAGCGCAAGTAGAGGAAGCACAAGCAGAGGAAGCGCAAGCAGAGGAAGCACAAGCAGAAGCACAAGCAGAGGAGCGCAAGCATAGGAAGCGCAAGCAGAGGAAGCACAAGCAGAGGAAGCGCAAGGAGAGGAAGCACAAGCAGAGGAAGCGCAAGCAGAGGAAGCACAAGCAGAGGAAGCGCAAGCAAGGAGCGCAAGCAGAGGAAGCGTAAGCAAGGAAGAGCAAGCAGAGGAAGCACAAGCAGAGGAAGCGTAAGCAGAGGAAGCGCAAGCAGAGGAAGCGCAAGCAGAGGAAGCGCAAGCAGAGGAAGCGCAAGCAGAGAAAGCGTAAGCAGAGGAAGCGCAAGCAGAGGAAGCACAAGCAGGAAGCACAAGTAGAGGAAGCAGAAGCAGAGAAGCGCAAGCAGAGGAAGCCCAAGCAGAGAAAGCACAAGCAGAGGAAGCGCAAGCAGAGGAAGCACAAGCAGAGGAAGCACAAGCAGAGGAGCGCAGGCAGAGGAAGCGTAAGCAAAGGAAGAGCAAGCAGAGGAAGCACAAGCAGAAGAAGCGTAAGCAGTGGAAGCGCAAGAAGAGGAAGCGCAAGCAGAGGAAGCGCAAGTAGAGGAAGCACAAGCAGAGGAAGCGCAAGCAGAGGAAGCACAAGCAGGAAGCACAAGCAGAGGAAGCACAAGCAGAGGAGCGCAAGCAGAGGAAGCACAAGCAGAGGAAGCACAAGCAGAGGAAGCGCAAGGAGAGGAAGCACAAGCAGAGGAAGCGCAAGCAGAGGAAGCACAAGCAGAGGAAGCGCAAGCAGAAGAAGCGTAAGCAAAGGAAGAGCAAGCAGAGGAAGCACAAGCAGAGGAAGCGTAAGCAGAGGAAGCGCAAGAAGAGGAAGCGCAAGCAGAGGAAGCGCAAGCAGAGGAAGTGCAAGCAGAGGAAGCGTAAGCAGAGGAAGCGCAAGCAGGAGGAAGCACAAGCAGGAAGCACAAGCAGAGAAAGCACAAGCAGAGGAGCGCAAGCAGAGGAAGCGCAAGCAGAGGAAGCACAAGAAGAGGAAGCGCAAGCAGAGGAAGCACAAGCAGAGGAAGCACAAGCAGAGGAGCACAAGCAGAGGAAGCGCAAGCAGAGGAAGCGCAAGCAGAGGAAGCACAAGCAGAGGAAGCACAAGCAGAGGAAGCACAAGCAAAGGAAGCGCAAGCAGAGGAAGCGCAAGCAGAGGAAGCGCAAGCAGAGGAGCGCAAGCAGAGGAAGCGCAAGCAGAGGAGCACAAGCAGAGGAAGCGCAAGCAGAGGAAGCGCAAGCAAGGAAGAAGAAGCAGAGAAGCGCAAGCAGAGGAAGCGCAAGCAGAGGAAGCGCAAGCAGAGGAAGCGCAAGCAGAGGAAGCACAAGTAGAGGAAGCGCAAGCAGAGGAAGCACAAGCAGAGGAAGCATAAGCAGAGGAAGCACAAGCAGAAAAAAGCGCAAGCAGAGGAAGCGCAAGCAGAGGAAGCGCAAGAAGAGGAAGCACAAGCAGAGGAAGCGCAAGCAGAGGAAGCACAAGCAGAGGAAGCGCAAGCAGAGGAAGCACAAGCAGAGGAGCGCAAGTAGAGGAAGCGCAAGCAGAGGAAGCGCAAATAGAGGAAGAGCAAGCAGAGGAAGCGCAAGCAGAGGAAGCGCAAGCAGAGGAAGCACAAGCAGAGGAAGCGCAAGCAGAGAAGCACAAGCAGAGGAAGCACAAGCAGAGGAGCGCAAGTAGAGGAAGCACAAGCACAGGAAGCACAAGCAGAGGAAGCACAAGCAAAGGAAGCACAAGCAGAGGAGCGCAGGCAGAGGAAGCGTAAGCAAAGGAAGAGCAAGCAGAGGAAGCACAAGCAGAGGAAGCGTAAGCAGAGGAGCGCAAGCAGAGGAAGCACAAGTAGAGGAAGCGCAAGGAGAGGAAGCACAAGCAGAGGAAGCGCAAGCAGAGGAAGCACAAGCAGAGGAAGCGCAAGCAGAGGAGCGCAAGCAGAGGAAGAGCAAGCAGAGGAAGCACAAGCAGAGGAAGCACAAGCAGAGGAAGCACAAGCAGAGGAGCGCAAGCAGAGGAAGCGCAAGCAGAGGAAGCACAAGCAGAGGAAGCGCAAGCAGAGGAAGCACAAGCAGAGGAAGCGCAAGCAGAGGAAGCACAAGCAGAGGAAGCACAAGCAGAGGAAGCGCAAGCAGAGGAAGCGCAAGCAGAGGAAGCACAAGCAGAGGAAGCACAAGCAGAGGAACCAGAAGCAGAGAAGCGCAAGCAGAGGAAGCGCAAGCAGAGGAAGCACAAGCAGAGGAAGCGGAAGTGAGGAAGCAAGCAAGCAGAGGAAGCACAAGCAGAGGAAGCGGAGGCAGAGGAAGCACAAGCAGAGGAAGCACAAGCAGAGGAGCACAAGCAGAGAAAGCGCAAGCAGAGGAAGCGCAAGCAGAGGAAGCGCAAGCAGAGGAAGCACAAGCAGAGGAAGCGCAAGCAGAGGAAGCGCAAGCAGAGGAAGCACAAGCAGAGGAAGCGCAAGCAGAGGAAGCACAAGCAGAAAGCGCAAGCAGAGGAAGCACAAGCAGAGGAAGCGCAAGCAGAGGAAGCGCAAGCAGAGGAAGCACAAGCAGAGGAGCGCAAGCAGAGGAAGCGCAAGCAGAGGAAGCACAAGCAGAGGAAGCACAAGCAGAGGAAGCACAAGCAGAGGAAGCGCAAGCAGAGGAAGCACAAGCAGAGGAAGCACAAGCAGAGGAGCGCAAGCAGAGGAAGCACAAGCAGAGGAAGCACAAGCAGAGGAAGCACAGCAGAAAAGCGCAAGCAGAGGAAGTGCAAGCAGAGGAAGCGCAAGAAGAGGAAGCACAAGCAAGAGCGCAAGCAGAGGAAGCACAAGCAGAGGAAGCGCAAGCAGAGGAAGCACAAGCAGAGAGAGCGCAAGTAGAGGACGCAAGCAGAGGAAGCGCAAATAGAGGAAGAGCAAGCAGAGGAAGTGCAAGCAGAGGAATGCAAGAAGAGGAAGCACAAGCAGAGGAGCGCAAGCAGAGGAAGCACAAGCAGAGGAAGCACAAGCAGAGGAAGCGCAAGTAGAGGAAGCACAAGCAGAGGAAGCACAAGCAGAGGAAGCACAAGCAGAGGAAGCACAAGCAGAGGAAGCAGGCAAGGAAGCGAAAGCAGGAAGCGCAAGCAGAGGAAGCACAAGCAGAGGAAGCGCAAGTAGAGGAAGCGCAAGCAGAGGAAGCACAAGCAGAGGAAGCGCAAGGAGAGGAAGCACAAGCAGAGGAAGCGCAAGCAGAGAAGCACAAGCAAAGGAAGCACAAGCAGAGGAAGCACAAGCAGAGGAAGCGCAAGCAGAGGAAGCGCAAGCAGAGGAAGCACAAGCAGAGGAAGCGCAAGCAGAGGAAGCACAAGCAGAGGAAGCGCAAGCAGGAAGCACAAGCAGAGGAAGCACAAGCAGAGAAGCACAAGCAGAGGAAGCGCAAGCAGAGGAAGCGCAAGTAGAGGAAGCACAAGCAGAGGAAGCACAAGCAGAGGAACCAAAGCAGAAGAAGCGCAAGCAGAGGAAGCGCAAGCAGAGGAAGCACAAGCAGAGGAAGCGCAAGTAGAGGAAGCACAAGCAGAGGAAGCACAAGCAGAGGAAGCGCAAGCAGAGGAAGCACAAGCAGAGGAAGCACAAGCAGAGGAGCCCAAGCAGAGAAAGCGCAAGCAGAGGAAGCGCAAGCAGAGGAAGCGCAAGCAGAGGAGCGCAAGCAGAGGAAGCGCAAGCAGAGGAAGCGCAAGCAGAGGAAGCACAAGCAGAGGAAGCGCAAGCAGAGGAAGCACAAGCAGAGAAAGCGCAAGCAGAGGAAGCACAAGCAGAGGAGCGCAAGCAGAGGAAGCGCAAGCAGAGGAAGCACAAGCAGAGGAGCGCAAGCAGAGGAAGCGCAAGCAGAGGAAGCACAAGCAGAGGAAGCACAAGCAGAGAAGCACAAGCAGAGGAAGCGCAAGCAGGAAGCACAAGCAGAGGAAGCACAAGCAGAGGAGCGCAAGCAGAGGAAGCGTACAAAAGGAAGAAGCAAGCAGAGGAAGCACAGCAGAGGAAGCGTACACAGAGGAAGCGCAAGAAGAGGAAGCGCAAGCAGAGGAAGCGCAAGCAGAGGAAGCGCAAGTAGAGGAAGCACAAGCAGAGGAAGCGCAAGCAGAGGAAGCGTAAGCAAAGGAAGAGCAAGCAGAGGAAGCGCAAGCAGAGGAAGCGCAAGCAGAGGAAGCGCAAGCAGAGGAAGCACAAGCAGGAAGCACAAGTAGAGGAAGCTAAGCAGAGAAGCCCAAGCAGAGGAAGCCAAGCAGAGAAGCACAAGCAGAGGAAGCGCAAGCAGAGGAAGCGCAAGCAGAGAAAGCGTAAGCAGAGGAAGCGCAAGCAGAGGAAGCACAAGCAGGAAGCACAAGCAGAGGAAGCAGAAGCAGAGAAGCGCAAGCAGAGGAAGCCCAAGCAGAGAAGCAAGCACAAGCAAGGAAGCGCAAGTAGAGGAAGCGCAAGCAGAGGAAGCGCAAGTAGAGGAAGCACAAGCAGAGGAAGCGCAAGCAGAGGAAGCACAAGCAGAGGAAGCAAAGGCAGAAGAAGCACAAGCAGAGGGCGCAAGCATAGGAAGCGCAAGCAGAGGAAGCACAAGCAGAGGAAGCGCAGGAGAGGAAGCACAAGCAGAGGAAGCGCAAGCAGAGGAAGCACAAGCAGAGGAAGCGCAAGCAGAGGAGCGCAAGCAGAGGAAGCGCAAGCAGAGGAAGCACAAGCAGAGGAAGCACAAGCAGAGGAAGCGTAAGCAGAGGAAGCGCAAGAAGAGGAAGCGCAAGCAGAGGAAGCGCAAGCAGAGGAGCGCAAGCAGAGAAAGCGTAAGCAGAGGAAGCGCAAGCAGAGGAAGCACAAGCAGGAAGCACAAGTAGAGGAAGCAGAAGCAGAGAAGCGCAAGCAGAGGAAGCCCAAGCAGAGAAAGCACAAGCAGAGGAAGCGCAAGTAGAGGAAGCACAAGCAGAGGAAGCGCAAGCAGAGGAAGCACAAGCAGAGGAAGCACAAGCAGAGGAGCGCAGGCAGAGGAAGCGTAAGCAGAGGAAGAGCAAGCAGAGGAAGCACAAGCAGAAGAAGCGTAAGCAGAGGAAGCGCAAGAAGGGAAGCGCAAGCAGAGGAAGCGCAAGTAGAGGAAGCACAAGCAGAGGAAGCACAAGCAGAGGAAGCACAAGCAGGAAGCACAAGCAGAGGAAGCACAAGCAGAGGAGCGCAAGCAGAGGAAGCACAAGCAGAGGAAGCACAAGCAGAGGAAGCGCAAGGAGAGGAAGCACAAGCAGAGGAAGCGCAAGCAGAGGAAGCGCAAGCAGAGGACAAGCAGAGGAAGCGCAAGCAGAGGAGCGCAAGCAGAGGAAGCACAAGCAAAGGAAGGCAAGCAGAGGAAGCACAAGCAGAGGAAGCGCAAGCAGAGGAAGCGCAAGAAGAGGAAGCGCAAGCAGAGGAGCGCAAGCAGAGGAAGCGCAAGCAAAGGAAGAGCAAGCGAGGAAGCACAAGCAGAGGAAGCGCAAGCAGAGGAAGCGCAAGAAGAGGAAGCGCAAGCAGAGGAAGCGCAAGCAGAGGTGAACAAGAAGCGGTAGCGCAAGCAGAGGAAGCCAAGCAGAGGAAGCGCAAGCAGAGGAAGCACAAGCAGAGAAGCACAAGCAGAGAAGCACAAGCAGAGGAGCGCAAGCAGAGGAAGCGCAAGCAGAGGAAGCACAAGCAGAGGAAGCGAAAGCAGAGGAAGCACAAGCAGAGGAAGCGCAAGCAGAGGAAGCACAAGCAGAGGAAGCACAACCAGAGGAGCGCAAGCAGAGGAAGCGCAAGCAGAGGAAGCTTAAGCAGAGGAACGCAAGCAGAGGAAGCACAAGTAGAGGAAGCACAAGCAGAGGAAGCACAGCAGAGGAAGCGCAAGCAGAGGAAGCGCAAGCAGAGGAAGCACAAGCAGGAAGCGCAAGCAGAGGAAGCACAAGCAGAGGAAGCACAAGCAGAGAAGCGCAAGCAGAGGAAGCACAAGCAGAGAAGCACAAGCAGAGGAAGCTAAGCAGAGGAAGCGCAAGCAGAGGAAGCGCAAGCAGAGGAAGCGCAAGCAGAGGAAGCGCAAGCAGAGGAAGCGCACAGCAGAGGAAGCGCAAGCAGAGGAAGCACAAGCAGAGGAAGCGCAAGCAGAGGAAGCACAAGCAGAGGAAGCACAAGCAGAGGAGCGCAAGCAGAGGAAGCGCAAGCAGAGGAAGAGCAAGCAGAGGAAGCACAAGCAGAGGAAGCGTAAGCAAGGAAGCGCAAGCAGAGGAAGCGCAAGCAGAGGAAGCGCAAGCAGAGGAAGCGCAAGCAGAGGAAGCACAAGCAGAGGAAGCGCAAGCAGAGGAAGCACAAGCAGAGGAAGCGCAAGCAGAGGAAGCGCAAGCAGAGGAAGCGCAAGCAGAGGAAGCACAAGCAGAGGAAGCACAAGCAGAGGAAGCGAAGCAGAGGAAGCGCAAGCAGAGGAAGCGCAAGCAGAGGAGCGCAAGAAGAGGAAGCGTAAGCAAAGGAAGAGCAAGCAGAGGAAGCACAAGCAGAGGAAGCGTAAGCAGAGGAAGCGCAAGCAGAGGAAGCGCAAGCAGAGGAAGCGCAAGCAGAGGAAGCGCAAGTAGAGGAAGCACAAGCAGAGGAAGCGCAAGCAGAGGAAGCACAAGCAGGAAGCACAAGCAGAGGAAGCACAAGCAGAGGAGCGCAAGCAGAAGAAACGGAAGCAGAGGAAGCGCAAGCAGAGGAAGCACAAGCAGAAGAAGCGAAAGCAGAGGAAGCACAAGCAGAGGAAGCGCAAGCAGAGGAAGCACAAGCAGAGGAAGCACAACCAGAGGAAGCGCAAGCAGAGGAAGCGCAAGCAGAGGAAGCACAAGCAGAGGAACGCAAGCAGAGGAAGCACAGCAGAGGAAGCACAAGCAGAGGAAGCACAAGCAGAGGAAGCGCAAGCAGAGGAAGCGCAAGCAGAGGAAGCACAAGCAGAGGAAGCGCAAGCAGAGGAAGCACAAGCAGAGGAAGCACAAGCAGAGGAAGCGCAAGCAGAGGAAGCACAAGCAGAGGAAGCACAAGCAGAGGACCTAAGCAGAGGAAGCGCAAGCAGAGGAAGCGCAAGCAGAGGAAGCGCAAGCAGAGGAAGCGCAAGCAGAGGAAGCGCAAGCAGAGGAAGCACAGCAGAGGAAGCGCAGCAGAGGAAGCACAAGCAGAGGAAGCACAAGCAGAGGAGCGCAAGCAGAGGAAGCGCAAGCAAAGGAAGAGCAAGCAGAGGAAGCACAAGCAGAGGAAGCGTAAGCAAGAGGAAGCGCAAGAAGAGGAAGCGCAAGCAGAGGAAGCGCAAGCAGAGGAAGCGCAAGCAGAGGAAGCACAAGCAGAGGAAGCGCAAGCAGAGGAAGCGCAAGCAGAGGAAGCGCAAGCAGAGGAAGCGCAAGCAGAGGAAGCGCAAGCAGAGGAAGCACAAGCAGAGGAAGCAAGCAGAGGAAGCGCAAGCAGAGGAAGCACAAGCAGAGGAAGCACAAGCAGAGGAAGCACAAGCAGAGGAAGCGCAAGTAGAGGAAGCGCAAGCAGAGGAAGCGCAAGCAGAGGAAGCGCAAGCAGAGGAAGCACAAGCAGAGGAAGCACAAGCAGCGGAAGCACAACTAGAAGAAGCGCAAGCAGAGGAAGCACAAGCAGAGGAAGCACAAGCAGAGGAGCGCAAGCAGAGGAAGCGCAAGCAGAGGAAGCGCAAGCAGAGGAAGCACAAGCAGAGGAAGCGCAAGCAGAGGAAGCACAAGCAGAGGAAGCACAAGCAGAGGAAGCGCAAGCAGAGGAAGCGCAAGTAGAGGAAGCAAGCAAGGAGCCAAGCAAGGAAGCGCAAGCAGAGGAAGCGCAAGCAGAGGAATCACAAGCAGAGGAAGCGCAAGCAGAGGAAGCACAAGCAGAGGAAGCACAAGCAGAGGAAGCACAAGCAGAGAAGCACAAGCAGAGGAAGCGCAAGCAGAGGAAGCGCAAGCAGAGGAAGCGCAAGGAGAGGAAGCGCAAGCAGAGGAAGCGCAAGCAGAGGAAGCACAAGCAGAGGAAGCGCAAGCAGAGGAAGCACAAGCAGAGGAAGCACAAGCAGAGGAAGCGCAAGCAGAGGAAGCACAAGCAGAGGAAGCGCAAGCAG